AGAGAGAGAGAGAGAGTGAGAGGGAGAGAGTTGTTGAATTGGTTGAAAATTCGATTTCTTTGTTACTTTACACATTTGATGAATAATAGGAAAGGTTAATTTATATATTAATGATAAGTGAAATAATTAACAAAAAACTAATGATTAATTAGTGATCAAAAGAAAAAATATTGAAATTAATGAAAAAGAAAAATTAATGATTAATGATAAGTGAAGTAATTAACAAAAAAAAGATTACAAAATGATAAAATAAGCAATGGAATGAATAGCATTTAACGATTTTACTCTTATTTTTTTTTGTAAAATTAACAAAAAAGTTATGAATGGAAATTTTAATCATAAATATTTTTGCATAATTTTAACTAACTAATAGTTAAGGTTAACTTATATTTTATGTTTTTTTTTAGAAGCCATCTTCTCATTTCGAATTTCATATTTATACAAATACAATATGATGATATTCTGAAAGTGTCGCATGCATGTGTCAATTTTCTTTCATCAAGTATTAATTAGTAATTAATAACAGTGAATGTGAAAAAGATTCAAATTTCAAAATTGCTTAAATTGTTACAAATGAAATGAATGTAATCAAAACTCATCCAATTATGATTTGTCATTGTTTATCAAACTTTTGAAAGCAGTAAATAGATTATTTAATTATTTATTTCAAGTTATTATTATTGTTTCTCTGTTCACCATCTTTTGAAAATAATAAGTAAATGAATGAATGAATGAATGAATGAATGAATGAATAAATGAATGAGTGAATGAATGAATGAATAAATGAATAAATGAAATGAAAGAATGAATGAACAAATGAATGCAATGAATGAATGCATAAACGAAATGAATGAATGAATGAGGAAATGAATGAATAAATGAATGAAATGAATGAATGAAACGAATGGATGAAATGAGTGAATGAATGAATGAATAAATGAAATAAATGAATGAACTGACAAACAAATGAATGAATGAATGAATGATTGAAATCAATGAATGAATGAATGAATGAAATGAACGAATGAATGAATGAATGAACGAATGAAATGAATGAATGAATGAATGAATGAATGAGTGAATGAATGGGCTAGCAATATATTATTTAATTATTTCAAATAATAATTCGAAAGGAATAAAAAAATGATTATTTGATTAAAAATTACAGAACCAATAAAGAATAATTATCAATTAAATATGAAAAGAAATTAAATCAAATTTTTTCGTTTTTTTTCTTTTTTAATTTGGAAGTCCTTATTATAAAGCTTTTTTTATTTTTCTTAAAAATTTCTTATCTTTTTTAAATGGTACTCATCAAAATTTTCTTGTATTATAATACAATTAATTAATTAACTTTATTAAATGCATAATGCTAAATAAACAATTCCATCAATAAATGCACTCATTCATGTCTAAGCAATATTTTTATCACAAACATTTGACATAAAAATCTTAAAATGCTAACATCCAAATCAATCATTTAGTAAACATTTTATACCACAACACCATTTCCTATCCTATCCTATCATCATCTTCATCTCCCCACGGGCAATTTAAATAACTGACAGTTGCAGATGTGTCTAGTAAAATAGGAAAATAGGTATATAGGATTTCATGAGATATTAAATTGCACTGTTAAAGTAATTGCATTTTTGGGAATTTATAAATTTCAAATTATTACAAATTTAGGGATGTGAATTTGTAATGATAATGAAGAATGTCAATCAAAAATAAGCTTATATATAACTATCCTTAGTAATTAAAACTAGAAACAAAAAGGAAAGAAAATAAGCTTAATTAAAATAGGCTTAAAATATTTGAATTTTATTTAATCAGAATGAGAAGAAATGAGGCAATTTATAATATTTATAATAATCGAAGAAAAAAACATTTTTTTTTCTGTCAACAAAAAAAAAAGAAAAGAAAATTGGCAATGATAAACTTATTTTATTTATCTATTAATGAAATTTGTTTGTTTATTTATAAGACAATGATTAAAATTTGTTAACGAATGGATGATAACTGATATAAAGATGATAGTTTGGATTGATAAAATTTCAAACACTGATTATTTTATATAAAGCATGATTATTTATAAGGAAGAATATGGTCTTTACTTTATTAGCTAAAGGCATTTGAATTATTTATATGGAGCCTTTTCTTGCTTTTTATTTTTATTAAGCCTTATTACTATTATTAGGCATTTTCTTTATTAGCTAAAGGTAATTGAAATTTTTATGATACATCAGTTTTGTTAAATAATAATTTTACTCTTTTTGTTGCTATAATTTTAGTATAATTTAAAAAGTTTAACTTTTTGATAATTAATTTGACAATTAACACCTAAACTAATCATATCGTTGTGCATAAAATTATTTCTTGTCACAAAATTTGTCACGGTTTAATGAAATAAAAGAAAATGCCTGATAATTTAAAATGGATTTCTGGACATTTATTTATCGGTCAACTAATGTGATAAAGATTTATTGGGCTTCTTTTTTTTTCCTTGTTTACATCTTCTTTTGAAATGCTTCAAATATCTGATAACGGCCTAATTTGACATTGTCCTTGCAAATTCCTGTATATTTGTAAAAGGGGATGGTCATTTGGTCATTGTTAGTACCTAGCAATTGGTCACTATGCTTCGTCATTTTATTTGACTTTGTTTTTTATTTCTTTTGCAAAATCATTGTGCTACATAGTTGATATATAATTTTTTGATTGTATATTACATTCTCAATTCTAAATATTGTCAGTGTGCTATTGTATTGCTTTAATTTAAATTCAAAAAAAAAAAATTAAAGAAAAGCTTTCTTTTGAATAAAAAAAATATTTTTATTAAAAAGAAGAAGCATAAGTAACCGAAATCATTTTTAAAATTTTGCATAAATAAATAAACATGTAGAAAAATAAATGAACACATAAATAAATGAATGAATAAATAAATACATAAACAAATAAATAGGAAAATAGGTAAATAAATAAATGAACAAAAAGTAAATAAATAAACAAATAAATAAATAAATGAACGAATAGGTAAGTAAATAAATAAATAGATAAATAAATATAACAAGAAATGGGCATAAAATTTGCATAATAAAGGTCAACAAAGTTTAGCAATGCAAGAAACTTTTCCATGAGTCCAATAATTCAAGTAGGCAAGAGACTGAATGGAGATGAAGATATACTACCGTAATAATGCAAATTTCGACCGAATAAAATTAAGAACCCTAGCATCCGCAGGAAGTATTGTGCAAATATAGTAGTTTAGATTTCCTATGTACCGTATGCTACCGTAATAAATCAAATTTTGTTGATGAAAATTGGAAAATAGAGTAATGTATTATATAAATGATGGTACAGTACGAAAATAAATAGTTTTTAAATGGATAAAAAATTCACCAAAAAAGAAAATTAAATAAAGAAACGATATAATTTGTTTATAAAATCAATTAAAATTTGACAATTTAATTGTTCATAATTTTTCTTTTTTTTTAAAAAATTCAATTCATTTTAGATTAAAAATTTTCCAAAAATTTAACATTCCATGTCAACCACCAATTCTTTCTTTTTTTTTTCTTTTGTTTTATTGATCAAAATTTATCTTAAAATAAAAATTTTATATGATAGCTGCATGAAATACACAAAAAAAAAAAAAAAAAGAAGAGAAATGAACAAATGACAAATTTTGTCCAATAATACATTTATCAATAAAACTAGCAAATTATAATTCAAATTATTAGCTTTGAAATTTTAAAAATAATAATAATTATGTAATGATAATTCAATTATATAATCATACAAAAAATCATGATAAATGTATGGTTGGAAGAATGCGATTGTATGACATAATTATAGCTAACATTACGAATATTTAATCTAATGACTAAAATATATCCTTCCATTTTCAATCATTTCATAAATCGAAATTTTAAAGCTCGTTGGATTAATATTGCTCTCATTTAAATGGTGCAAAATTTTAAAATCGAAATTTGTTAGTGTTATATAAATGTGACAATATAGGACATATTAATAAATTGAGGGATAGTTATAATTTATGAATTATTTACTTAATTACATGTATTGTTTTTGTCTTTTTTTTTTTATATTTCTTTAGGATTTTCCAATTTATTTTTCCTTTTCTTTTCCTTTATTTTTTTTCTCTTTCTTTATCTTTTTTCTTTTAAATCTATTTTGTATTGATCATAAATTGTGATACGTTTGCATTCTTTAATGATAACTTATCGCTTTGTTGTTAAAACTTTGTCATAATTTTAGCATCATGCAAGTGTTAATTACCGTAATCGTTTTAATTATTACAATTATTATTATTATTACTATTATTACTATTATTATTATTATTATTACTATTGTTGTTATTATTATTATTATTATTACTATTGTTGTTATTATTATTATTATTATTATTATTATTATTATTATTATTAT